ACCCAGAATACTGTGCGCTCAGTGAAATGATCAACATTGTATCTGACATATTTTCTATTGATAGTGATCACGTTTATTTATATATACAGTATATTGTAATTCAATATACTGTGTTTCAGTTTGATTTGTTGTCTCCATAAGATAGGGGAGGTTTGTTTTGAAACCATGTCCTAATGCTGTCTTTTCTTAAAGTTTGTCCTTTTCCTCTGCAGGACATGTTTATTTGGACTGTTTGCAGTAATAACTGTTGAGGCGTTTCAGTTGCTTAAACAGATGCCATAGCTCAGCAGTATAATGAGCACAAGATAGGACAGAGAATGGCAATGCTCTCTGATCCCTGAATGTCACTCCGGTTTAAACCACAACTCAGTGTTTTATAGATCATGTATTCAGCAGCACACAATGACATTTGACAGATACACTGTGGCGGTGGTGGTGGGGTGGGGGGAAAAATGGATACTCGTCCTTCTGGGTGTGTAGCTTGCCACTGACTTAGGCTTCAGAAAATGTTTAATTTCTTGGTAACTGATGACCTTTTCATGGAAAGCTTTATCATGTGGCAATTCATGCCCAGGCGTCTAAAGAGCTTTATAAGCAGAGATCCAGTGCTCAGGAACCATCAGCCCTTGCAGCTCATCAAGCCAAGCGCTTGTATAATCTAATTTGATTTTAATGCATCTCTGAAGGAGATTGTGCTCTTATTACTGTGTAATGATGCTGTTGTCAAGAGCCAGTGGTGATGTCTAATATCCTACCCATGTTAACTACTTCTGTGACACTCATCCCAGCGTTGTCTCCGTGCACGACGGCTTGTCCCGCACATTTATGACATTATTGTTCTTTTTGTTGCATTCTGCTTTATGACTGACAGAAACATGGTGATTTCTCCAGAACTCCCTTCCTTATTACCTTTGCCTGATGCAGTACTTTTTTTTTGTATTCAGTACAGTAGATAGAGCATAACGACGAAGGTCTTATCTGAGATGAGGAGAATTCTGAAATGCTCTCACTCAGGGGGAGCAAGCAAATGGAAAAGTGACAAGCCATGGTGCAGTTGTCTATTTTACTTATTCTGTGCCTCTGTTTCATATTCTGCCTCGCACTGCAGGGTTATTTTCCTCCGGGGTTCAGGAGGGCACGCTCTTTCATTTCTTCAGAAAATTGTTTCGCAGGATTTCAATCTTTGGTTGCAAGATATGACAAAACACAATATCAAGAACACTTATGTTTCTTATCTGCCATTTTTTCAGGGTATAAATAAAAGATCAGTATAAATTTGAGTCAAGTGGCCTCCGATGCACTTGTGAGAGATGAACATGAAAAAGAACTGTGAACCTTGGGACACTGTACACTTTTACAGCTCTGTCTAAATTACCTTGGCGCAGGGGTTTTGAGAGTCATTTATCATCCTTGAAAATCAATTAGTTTGAACATAACAACCTAAATATGATATTTTGCATGGGTTTTATTTTAAAATGAGCATAGAGTTAGGTTTTTTAGATGATTCATATACAGGTGGTTTAAATGAAGGTAAATTAGTAGCAAGCCACAAAAATACAGCTTTAGATTGGTGGCTATTCAAAATATTGATTTTACTTGAATAGACCTTTCATTTACTACCCAACAAAATTAATAGCACCACACAAATGACAGCGCCCGAGTAACTAAAATACCTTTAAGGGCAAATATATTTTAACAACAAAAGGTTTTACTGCTCTCTGTGATCATTTATCTGTCTCTTTGTGAAACACTTAGTCAATCCAGTCACAAAACAGGTTCAAAATATTCAGCCACGTTTAGTGCCATATTGTACATAAATGATGAAGGCTGTTTATGTATATTGAACAACCTCCCAGTGGTCAATGGTGATGTGGAAAAAAAAATCTAAACCTCGTCCTAGTGATGTCCTTTTTTTTTCTCCCGTTTGCCTCTTGTCAGRGGTCAACCTCAAACAGCATGCGGTGGAATCAGGCGTTACTGCTGGTGTCATATTGATGCATTACAAGGCCCAGGAGGTCATGTCTCAGTAAACATGCATTATCAAAACCCATAGAAGATGTGGGAYGTTGACCTCACCGATAAGACTACGAAGCTTCTTTTGGGAGGGGATGGGGAGGGGTGTTGTCACGTGACGATGGAGAGCAACTTTATTGACACGATGACTTTCTCATTGCAAACGAAGAGGGTCAAGCAATCAGGACTGGTCAAACTCTGTGTCAGCACCATTATTTTACACTGTCTGAAATGATCAATGAGTGAAAAGAAAATGATCACAAGCTAAAATTGGCTTGGTAATGAAAATGGACCGTTTAAATACGGGGTTCAGAGAGCAGCTGGATGGAGAACAGGCACCAATTTAAAATGCGACGAATACAAAGCAGCATGTTAAAAAGAAACAGATAATGCTGAACTTTTTCATGTTTAGATCATTTCAAGGGACTTGTAAACGTATACAAAAATGTATTCAGTTATTTTAAAACAAATTTAATTAATTCTTTAAGTAACGAATTGTACCCAAGAACAAATACATTGTCTTCTTGTAAAATATAATTTTATTGAAAATACTTTGAAGCAACACAACAAAGAAAAAGGCACTTAGGACATAACACAACTCTCCTTGCATTGCTTTTAGTAACAAACACACTTACTGCATGTGAATTCCTGGCTGTGTAAACATGTTAGCAATTAAATGCTGCAGAGTACCAAAGTAAACACTGTCATCTCAAACACAGAAGAAAATGGTTATAAATAATCGTTCATAAATAAAACTCTTCACAAAACATTCCAACATGCTTGTGGGTATTATACTCAATTCATCACAACACGTCAAACTTCATCAAAAAAAAATACAGACAAGAAAAAACAAAAAAAAAATACTAAAATATAACTTCAGAAACAAGACATACTTTATAGTGTTTATTGGTGCACAATCTTGACAGATTATGCTGGTGTCATGTAATACAGTATATAGCTCATTGCTAGACGTTTAAAAAGGGTTTTTCTTACAAGAAACGGACTTCCAGCTGAATGRTGCTTATGCAACCTAATGTGTGTAACTGTAAACAAACCAAAAACTAAATGCTCCAGCTTGACTTGAATTAAAATATCACCACTCTGGTTTATTCCACTTCCATGGCAGAAACGTCATGCTCTTCATCAGATTTCTCGGAGGCCTGGTCTTGTGATTCAGTGGTGTTTTGGGCATCTGATGCAGAACTGGGCTCCGTGGCCGTCACTGTGCCCRACTCATGGGCATCTGTTCCAAGTGGGGCATCAGCAAGCTTGGTTTTTCCTGAGAATTACACAACATTGTCTGTTTACATGCAAACAAATAACAAAAATAAGGAAAATACACTAAGAAATATTTGTTTAAAAGTGTCAATATCCCTTTTAAAAAGGCATTTGCAATCTTGAATAAAATCTGTATTAGACGTAATCACCTGAAACACACTGGTCTTCATCAACGTTAAGAGATGAAGGCTGGGGCACCTCAGATGGTGTCTTGGGTTCAGTGACCTCAGGGAGTCTGGGTGCGTGAGGTCTGGTCTTTCTCGCAGGGTTCAAGAAATAACAATACGCACATCGGAAGGCTAAAACAACACAAATACGACATCATACATCTAGTTAATGCAACCACTCTAATACATCCACAAACATGCATAGATTAATACACATGAATCAATGACAAAAACTGCCTGAGATGCATAAACATTTCAGACTGATGTGCAGCACTACTTTGCATATTCAATCGTGTTCTGTTTTTGCTTACAGGAGTTGCTAGTGGCAGAGGCATTTAAGAGCCATGTGATATACTACTCTGCCAAATGCTAGAGGGCAAACGCAGGCCCAGTGTTTGATGGAGACTGATAAAGAGAGCTGTGATGCTCAAAGCCTTACCGATGTATTCGAATTCTTCTTTTAATGCCATGCCGTTATGAGAGAGACACTGCTGACATATGAGAGCGTATCTATGCGAGAGGAAAGACAATYGGCGAAGGCAGTTAGACAAATTAGATTGTGAAGACAGAATTATTGATAAATACAATGATGGTATGCATAGAACAACTGGAGCACGAGTAATTTAATGTCATCTTTTCTGCTTTGCAACACAATCCAATAAATCACTTAGATTTTAGGATGTAAAATTAAAAAAAAATTTGAAATTGCAGGTTTTCATCCTAGTTGCACCTTTATAACAATAACAAACCTACTAATATAGACTGTCTATTTAAGGAAAACACATCTTATAAGCCAGGGGTTATAAACCTTTTTGACCTCGGGGCCCAATTTGTTGAACATACGTAAAGTGGCACAAAGCCCAGTCAGATGTTACCAATGTAC